TTAAAAAGTCCATTCACCCTCTAATATATCGAAAACTTATGCTTGTTTCAAATTTTATGACCATAACAGGTGCCAGAAAAATTTGGTGCAAGGGCAATTTAGGAATAAAAATGATGTAACAACTTACAATGGAAAGGTGATGTGAAACAGATGATGTTAAACAGGTGAGCTAATCCTGATAGCTAATCCTAGTCCCTGGAGCGCAAAGATTGGTTGAGGCTCACTAATATGCCAACAGATGCACAAGCTTAAAATCCATAAATTTGAGAGCAATGGTCCCCAATTAATTTTTTTTGTGTTTTGGGCATTTTTTCCTTGACAATGCGAAACATAAATAAAAAATGGAAGGAATCCAGTCACATCTTTGGTGCGTAAAATGGGTGAGGCCAAAAACCACTTCTGCATGCGTGCGATCTCCGATCCCTCAGACGTGACTGTCATAAAGGAACTGAGCATGTGCAGTGGATGCCCATAGGTTCGGAGAGATCCTTCAGCTGTGGGCAAATTTTTAGCAATAAAGCGGAGAATACATCACATTGGAATACCCACAAATTATCACATTCTGGCCTCCATTTAGTTTATTTTCTAACATGCCACGAGTAAAACAATATTATGGAACTGAAGTCAGAGGAGATTCCACAAGGCTAAGTTTTTTTGATTTTCCATGGCCAGACAAAGCAACGTGCAAGCAGATCATAAAAATAGCGCAAGTAAAATGGATGTTCAAAATAACTGTACTAAAATATACAATATGTCCTGCCTTCGGAAAATAATTAATTTTCGGAAAGAATAGCTCAGAGTTGGCCATGGTAAACAACGATATAAACAAGCAATTTCCATCAACAACGAGCTTGATATAATTTAAAATTTATTTCAAGTTAACAGAGTATGTCGCTGATTTTAACTTACCCTCATAGTATCTCTACAAACTTAACTGTCCATAATATTAAAATATATGATATTAAAAATAAACAAAATGGATGACAAAACCTAAAAAATTTGAAGGTATTCCAAGCTGTTATACTCTCAGTTATATTGCAAAGAAGACATTCGAAGAATCCCTCTGAACTTATGAGCATCCACTGCGCACGCTCAGCCGCAACAGTGTTCTTTTAAGAACTGTCTCAACTGTGATATAATGGCATGAACTTGAAAATACTTCGGAAAGTCATTATCAGTCAACAAGATGCAGGTTAAAGCTTTACTGTGAAAAGATGAAGCCATATATCAATGCTGGCAAGAAGCGCCGCCGACCTCTCGGGGCTCAGTGTCATCTAAGAAACAGCACCACAGTGGTAGCCTGTTTTGTCGTCCATTGTGTCAATATTTCGAGTGGTTCCTGGAAAAAAAATGTCGGCTGGGTTCTCCAGACCAAAGATGGCAGGGAAAGCTTAAGCTTTTATTTGCATAAAGTCCAAAAGTGAATATCTGTCTTGGTATGGGGGGCTGTCAGTGCACATGGCAGGGGTGGCCTGATCATTCGCAACGGCACCATTATTGCAGAAAGATATATATACAAATTTTAGAGCAATATATTCTGCCATCAAGACATCATCTAATCTAGGGACATACCTGCATTTTCCGGCCAGACAATCCTATATAACATTCCGTATAAGTGACAAGTGCATGGCTGCATAAGCAGAGAGAGTGGGTGTTAGACCGGCCTGCCTGCGGTCCTGATCTGTCTCTGATTGAGAATGTATGATGCTTTATGAAGCAGAATATATGGCAAAAAAGGCCCTGAACAATTGAACAGCTGAAGACCTGCATAATAGAGGACTGGGAGAAATTTGTAATTGCTAGACTTGACCAACAAGTGTCTTCAGTGCCCAAATGTACAATGAGTGTGAAGAAAGATGTAGTTACATGACACAGAGGTAAATATTCAACTGTGTTAACTTATGTGAACTCTGTTGTACTTCATATATTTTCAATTAGCTATTAAATTCACGTTACAGTATCAAACAATGTGTAGTATTGTTTCAGTATAATAAAGGCAGTTTTCAATCAAACCTTTTTGATTTTATTGGCATTTTCCATGATGTGCCAACTTTTGCAGAATTTGGGCTGCAGTTCCAACTGCTGATGGAATTACATTGCAAGTAATGGAAATGGAAAAATAGAAAAATATTAATGATCACAGGCATGGATGGGAAAGTTTTCAACTGAACCATATTGTAGAGGTGATCATTGTGATTCATGAATCTGGGCAATCAAAAGCAATGGAGCTCTATGTGATCAAAATGATAATTAAAAAAAATCTAAAAACCTGGTCCTCTGAAGATTTAAGAGGCTCCCAGCCAAACCAAGGCAGCGAGGGCACAAGTGCGAGACAGAGCCTCGTCTTCCTTATCATTTACATGATGTTTTCCAGTCAAACTGGCCAAATAAACAAATCAAAACTGCTGTGGCATGGCCAGGGTTCAGCAAACAACAGGCCATCACTTCAGATGCGGCCCTTTGTTTTAAAGGATTGTGCTGGGGTGGGGTGGGGTGGGGTGCCAAAGGGCAATTAAGCCTTAAGATACCATATCAGTAATTCGGGCAGATCGCTCTGGAGTCCTAAAAGACGTACAGGTTACCTTGCCCTCTTGACTTGGTTGGCGAGCAGTCATTTTCTTTGCGTATTTAAACACAGGAATGCGAATCACTAAATCCATTTTTACTGTTTGCAGATTACCCAAGACAATCTTCCTCAGCTGTCTTCCGTACATTAAAAATGCCATTCATTGAGCTTTAATTTGCTTCGCTCTTTCATGTTAAGACAGATGAGTCCAGAGTGAGCAATTAAATTTAAAAGGGAGGAGAAAACTGACAAAATTCCACTGGAATCGGTAACACTGGAACAAAACAGATCAAATAAACTCAGTCTGGACTACCACTGGAAAAACCCCCACCATTTTTCCCAAAATATCTTATTGCCTATCACCTAGGCAACAGCCAGTGAAGTGTGACGGCAGGGGGACGCCAGAGCGCTCGTTTATGGGAACCGCTGTAGTGGAAATAAACATTTCATATCCAGCGCTTCTGAATTCTTTCAGACCAATCTGTCTTTGAGCGGGTTTTGGGAATAACCCAACACAGAGGCAGGATTTGGAAGTACATAAGAAGTGACCTGTGCAGTGCCACTGCTGCCGAACGCACCCATCTCACTCAGGTTCTTGTGTAAATCTTGTGCAAAAGGGCCCTAATTGCTCAACTTAATTGTTAGCGTTGTTTGGTAATTTGCTAACCTCTAATTGTAAAGGTTTCTGCGCAAATCCTGCTTTTCATCCCTGAGGGCACAACGCTATTCAGTGCAGAATAATGCTCCACAATTGGCAAAAGAATGCAGAAAATTGATAGCCACATGCAGATAGCAGACAATGGACATAGCCTTCAAGCAAAAGAGTAATTATGCTAACTTGACAAGAAAAATAACTTCTGAGGCCCCACGATAGCCTACTTAGTGCGGTCATACCTAGACTGGCATGGGAAGGAGGGTTGTGTGCATTTTTTGTGGGTAGAAGAGGTGAGGAATTGGACACCCTGCATATTTCAAAACGCGTGAAACCCTTTTTTATTTTTTGAGGCTGTTTAAGGAGTTCTTCACCTTTGTTACCCCCGTGACACCCCCACCTCTTACCTCCCTCCCACTTTCCAGCCCATCTCTGCACATTCCGATCCCAAGAAGTCATACCTGCAGGATTTTCACGCTGCCCTGGCCCTCGTTCCGACCAAAAGGCCATGGACAAAGAGCCTGCACCACACTGACATCTGCAACTATACCAACAGTGTCATGCGGAAAGCTTTTTCAGAACATTCTAACTTCGCCTCTCCGTGTCTTTGTTTTGCTCAATATTAGTCATGAGGGTTTAGGTTTGCTCTTTAGCCAAGCCCAGCTACCGTCAGCAGGAGGGTCCATTGCACAGTACTGCTATTCTGCCTAAAACAGTATTCACACCCTCCACCTAAAATGACACAGGTAGCCTGATTTATGTTGCTGGATTTGTGCAGAATTAGCTGAGGGTCTGGGACATCGCAAACATGTCTGAACTTCATCCCTTTTGGACACTGGTGAACAATCCAGACGATATAGTTCAGAGCACCTTTTACGGTCAATCACATTCAGGGCGCTCAAGTTCGTTAAAGTTCAGTAAATCTGCACTGCCGTATATTCACGTGCCATGAAGTTTGTCAGAACGTTTGAGAAAAGGGATCATTCACACGCAATCACGTGCTCACAGATTTTAGTGTAGGGAGACAGTAATTGCACACTAGTATATCCGAGCAGGCACTGATGAAAATGTGTGTGGGCCTGCGAACGTTTGAAGCGTGTATACGTGCACATCTGTTTGTTTATACACATTTGTGTTCATCCTTTAATTTGGTTGTAGAATTCTGTGTTTTTGGAGAATACTTTCCTGGAGCCCAACCACAGAGCGCGCATCGGATTAGCATTCTCAGCCAATAACACTAGCTGTGATCCACACCCTGCATTTATACAACAATCACACCGCTACACAGCGAATTTCAAGAGTATCGAGTTAATATTTGTCAAACTACAATGGAAAAGTATCATTTCCAAAGAACGGAGCGAAAGAGGCTGAGTAGAGACGTGATTTAAGAAGTTTCTCAATCCTGTTTACCCGCCCACAGCTGAGAGATAAGGGCGAATGAATCTATGGATGAGGATCAAACACATTCACATTTTCAAACGACCGTAAGGGCTTTGGTTCCACTGATTAGCGTTTACAAGGAAAGATAATCATCTGAAGCAACACTGACAAGCTGCAAGCTCAATTAAATACACTTCAAACATCGCCAGAAGCAATTTTTATCTGTTTGGAGGTCACGGGTGAGTGGAGCAAGCATTTTTGGAGGGCCACAGGAAATGCATATCAGGAAAGAAAAGAGGTCTGAGGCAGCGTAAATATGTCTTTCCTGGTACCCAATTATACACCTGGATGGAGTGAGGCATTGTGGGAATGAAGTGTTTTTGCCCAAAAACACATCGTGGAAGCCGTGGCAAAGACTTGCACTCAGGACCTTTCGATCTCAAGTCAAGCACACTTAACCACTGTGCCACTGCGTCCCCCAAACAGCTTAATAAGGTGATATCATATTTTACATAAAAAGGAAAGCTATGAAACATGACACTTCACATCAGAGTAGATACACTGTAACTGTCCCACACAATAACAGCATTGTACCAGCACGCACTGGGCTCAGATCGGACATCATCCAGCCGACTCCCACACACTCGCAAGAGACTTTGAAAGAACGCACACACACATGTATGCACATACATGAACATACATTTAGTTTAAGCAGTAAACATACAAGGAGATAGACATGACCAGGGGCAAACACACACATGCATATGCACACACTCACAAGCAAATCCACTTCGCCTTCCACATGATCTGTCAGATTAGAAGCCTGAAGTTATGTCCAATTTAAAGGTGACATAGAATCAAAAACCGTTTTTACCTTGTCTATGTTGAATAACGGTAGTCTACCTGCATTCAAGAACATACGAAAAGTGCTAGACATTCTGAACATCTCCGTTTCATAGAAATTCCTCTTTTAAAAATGACCGCCAGAGAATGGGCCAATCTGAACAACGGATACATATGATGTCACATGTATCTCACTGCCCTCCCACTCTCATTCCGTTTCCTCCCCTTCAAAATAATTTGCATACACGTCTTTATGCAATTCCATTGCTTCCAATCCCTCAGTAAAGACAAGCGTGAGAATTCCAGAGTCATAATCGATTTCCGTGTCACTAGTGGGGAAATCCACCGTAATGCACGTGAAACTGATTAACTTATTGCACAAGGACTTAAATTCCCCAAATGAAGTGCACTTTGATTGAATACCTGCTGACTACGGCACAGGAACGTCAATACGAGAGACTCACTCCGAATGCGTAAGCCTTGGCAGCTCGTTTGAAAAAAAAAAAAAAACATTCAAAAATACTCATCATTCAGAAATGTTTAAATCCAGCCTTTGCTGGACTGGTTCTTCCTCCAATTCAGTGTCCTCATCCGATTTGGGCTCAAACATATAAGGCTGAATCTCTGAATATGCCATAGCTGCATAAAGTTGGTCTGTCCGTGTTCCAAAGCCGGCAAGTGTTTTCCATTTTCCCTACCGCTCTGGGCGAAGTTATGTTCTTTTGAGCGGCAGCAAAGCCAGCCAATCAGCGTCAAGTGCTTGAATTTCATAATGAGGTTGCCAGTTAAGCCCGAAAGGTGCAAAACAAGGCGTTCAAAATCCCCCACCCTAACATAGCTTTTTGAGAGAGGTTTTTAGGAAGTTTCTCAGGCATTATAGACCCAACCAAAATTTTGTTGTCTATATGTCACATCACAGAACAAGGATAAATACCCCATTCAACCATTCTATGTCACCTTTAAGTAAATTTTGCTGTCTGAGGATGGCTTCCATAAAGAAATAAATACATAAATAAACAAATAAATAAATGAAGAGTTTGTTTCCAAAACGCAATATGTCTATTTTACTCATTTTGAGCAAATCAGCTTTTTCTGTGTTGGCGCCAATTGCATTTTATAGAAAAACACAAACTTTGACCATGAAAAAATACACCTTATAGTATGAATTTCTAAAAATGGATTTTTTGCACCATCTGTAAGAAGAGTGGGGCTATCGCTCTATGGTATAATCTCAATTTTTGTAATTTTGGCACTTATTGCCTTTTAGAAACAAGCTCTTGAAATTCTCCAGCAGGTCCCTTCGGTGAACCGGGGCTGCCTTTTCTTCACGGTCAGCTGGAGCATAAGGGTGAGTCTCTTCACCCTGAGGGCTTTCATGATTTATTAGCTACCGATTTGGGAACAAAAGTGTCGTTTACATTTTCACAACACCTCATGCCTCAAACATACATGAATTACTTCACCCCTTGAGGCTTTCATAACACTTTAGTGAGGAGTGAAGAATCTTCTGAGATATTGTCTATTGTTGTAGGAATCCTGACCTGCGAGCAGAACTGAAAAGCATGGCTTTAAGTTTTACAGCAGACTTACAATTTCAGTAGAAGAAGATTTTTTTTGCTGAAATATGAAGAAAATACTTTCGATTAAATTATTTTACGTTTATACAGCCGTGATCCGGAACATGTCTTGTTGGCCCTCTGAGTTTGCTTGATTTAGCTCCAACCACTATTCCGATCATCTTTACCAAGCTGTTATTTCGTTTTAATTCGGTGAATTTTATGTTGAGGGCAGTTACTTACCCTCTGAAGCTGCATGTTAACAGAAATATCCATGCATGCGATGAAGAATAGGAAGTCCATGTACACACTGTGATATATTCAAAACAACAGCATGGAAAAAGGGGCAGAAATTTAACCAATAAAATCAGTATGTTCCCGGGTGGTGAAAACTAATTTACAAATGTTCATGAAAACAAACCATGTGACAATGTGTAATATTTTCTGCAAGCAAATGATAAAGAGTCAAACCTGTTTTGTGTCATTTAAATAAGATTAAGCACACTATTTTGAAAGAACATAAAACAATTGTTTTCAGCAGCCTAAATCGGAGCTTACTGTTTTTTTGCAAAGTCTAATTTGAACTGTTTAAAAATATGACCTGAAATTACTTGCAATATAGAAATAAAGCAAAATATCTTCAGATTCTTTTATTCTTCATAGCACACATGGATATTTCTGATAAAAAGCGGCTTAAGACTGTCAATAACTGCTCTAAATGGGAAATGTGTCTACTTAAGACAAATTAACTGCTTATTAAAATCCTACGATTGTAAGTGTGGTTGGAACAAAAGCCAGCACACACAAGGGGCCCCAGGGCCGATGTTGGGGAGCACTGTTATGCAGTATTTTGTAGTGCTGTGCTGTGGGCGGGACTGTGGAACACATACAGACTGCACCCACACATAAGGTCACAGAGCACACGCTCTGATATTATGGGCTTTTCTCAAACCACTCCCTACATCCTCTCCTCCCCTAACTCTGCCCCGTTTGCACGTTCACGTGGAGGGTTCACCACATTAAGTGCCATCCCAGACCAATCATCGAGAAGTGGAGGCAGGTTATGAAACCCTTCAGCGCGTCTACATCCATAATGACTTACTGAGCACGTGCAATTCCACGCTATGTTCTTCATGGAAGATGCTCTGTGCAAATGTGAGTTTGACTGCCCATACAAATATAAGCCGCTCAAACTGAGGCAGACATTTAATATTATTATACAGCTGTTTCAATGCATTTGGGATAGAATACTCCCTTCTCTAATTCAGAAAATGGTAGATGTGTCAATTTGATTGCATATTTACAGGACTGCCGCAAAAACCAAGCAGTTTATAAACTTCAGAGTGAAAAACACGAAGTTGTTATCCAAAAATACAAAATGCCAGCGGAGAAGTTTGGGAGTGAGATTTTATTAATTCGATTAACAATTTTTTCTTTCACGAACTTATGATGCCTTGAATTTAATGAGTGTGTCATGTCACTGCACACACACCTTCATCTTTGTCAGCGCTGTGTATAAAATTATCTTTTAGATAAATATTTATGACATTACAATACCCTCTCTAAAATATTTGAGTAAGAGGTGCATCATCAAGGAACTAGACTGCCATATACAAACACAGCGTGTCTATCAGTAGGCATGGTGATGACTAGCTCTGCTTCCCACTGGTTAAAGGGCAAAGGCATCCGGAAGTTTACATACATACTTACAGCCTCCCCCCTTAAAGAGGACCTATTGTGCTATTTCTTTCTCAAGCCATTATATTCCATGTTTTATAAAAAAAAGGCAGCTCGCCAAAAAAATGAAAATAAAAAAAAAGACTCCAGATACTGCGATGCATGCGTACAAAAATTAAAAAAGTGCGTTTTTCATGATGTGTCCCCCTTGAATGAAGTTCCTCCTTTAGCTGTGAGGGGGGGCTTCACACGACGGGATCCTCTGTAGTGGGGTGCCAGTGTTGAGGGAGCGGTTTGGGGGTTTGAGGATTTGGGAAAAGGCCCACTTGTCCTGAGGTGGCTTCCAGTAAAGGCTGCACAAGCCCCACCCACAGCAGCGAGAAGCAGGCTGGAGCGGCAGGGCAAGCATTAGTTATAACAGCCCAATGAGTCATGGCTCCTGGGGCTGTACTGGTAGCACTGGGAGCGCTGGGGAAGAGCGAGAGCACTATGGCCAGAGATCTGACACCAGACTGGGAGCTGCGTTTCAGAAATGAGTCAGTCGCTGGGGGGCAAGGTCTCCGCACTACGAAGGTGTCAGTTTATTTAGCTTACAGACAGAGCAGGGTGCAGTGCCTGGGCTGTAGGTGATGTCACATAAGACAAACACAATTGTGCACTAATGAGGACAAACATTTGCACAAATGCCCATAAACTTGCACACTCTCCTGCTCACTGCCGCACACACGTGCATGCGCTCACACACACACACTCTTGCTCATACGGCACGCAGTGCACGCTCACGTACAATCACACACGCAGATACGTGCATGAGACCAAAGGGCTAACCTCGTCTCCCGCAACACAGCAAACATTCTTGCCTACTGACCTCAGCCTGATCGCCTTTACCTCTCACCAGTAGATAAGTTTGCATCATAAACTTGTCTTTCGCTGCTCGAAACTGTGACTATGGATTCAACCAACTGAGAGGGCACGAAAACGATTACAAAATGCAATCTTCACAATCAGAGGAAATGAATCCCTTGCTGCTGTTCCACGTGGGATCATATAAAGTGGTTGTGCTATTTTGTTGGCAGGCAGGATAGGACAATACGTAAAGCTTCTCTGCTAATCGCTAACACAATCTCACCATGCTAGTCAGTCAAAAACACCAATCCAGCAACAGGAAACTCTCAAATAACACTCAGGAGTTGCTTAACTGGGTCTTTCTCTACAGGGAATCTTTTTTTTTAATCTTTATTTTATCTTTTTTCCATCAGTTTTATTTACTGGACTTTTTATCTCTCTGGTCACATTTGCCCACCTTCTGAGTCAAATTCCTGTGAACGGCCCCTCCTTCCTCCTGTTTATCTAACGCTTTTCTGGCCCCTCCCACACACCTAATGTTGTGTGACCCTGGC